TGGATGCCGGCCGAATCCATGGTCTAGAGGTTAAGTGTTCGTGCGCGAGATCGATAGGTCCTGTGTTCGAATCTCGCTTGGCGTATCGTGGTTGCGCACTGCTGAGGAGTCCCACAACAGAACGAAACGGTCATCCAGTGCTCCCAGGTTTTCCGTGACGGTATAGCTTCAATTGACTCATAAATTCAAATATAAAATATACAAATGTCAATAGAAGAATAGAAAAGATTACATCATAAATTGATTCCAAACTCTTATTATCAAATGAGGTTACGCAATAATCAAGGGGTAAGGAAGGAGTATGAGGATGAATATAATTTACAAGTCAGAATGATGAAAGACAGTCGTCCACTTGACAAATATGATGAAAGATGAAAAACATAAATGTCATAATAACAATTGAATAATAAACATGGGAAATTGTTGAAGGATAATAATAATAATAACTGGTTACGGTTTAGAATTATAAAATAATTAGAAAACAAACAAGGTTAAAGTATACTGAAGAAGAGAATTAAGGTTAAGTAAGGACATGTTAAGGATAATTCCGTCTTTGCGCTACATTGATATCTATCTATAAATTTACTTGCTTTTGTAGAGCAGGTTGTATTGGCCTCACAAAGCGATAACATTCTAAATGTATCTCAGAATATTATGCCAGTATGACTTTTAAAAGGAAAGAGCAAAACAATCGTCAGTTTAATATACAAGCACCTGACCAACTCTAGACACGTTGCTTCAAAGGAGTCTTCCTTCAAAATCATCTAATTAATCAAAGGAACTTAATCAAGAGAAGCTAAATCAAAAACCTATACACTGCTGAGGCGTTGGAGATCTAGCAATTTAAGCCCGAACTTTGAAGATGATTCATACTAAGAAAAACATATCTATCAAAGTTCGGGTTTTCGTTTCCCACTTGAGAATGGCATTCAGCATGATGATGAGTGGAAAGACTGGCATCAAGAATTTTGAACCAGTTTCGCATTAGCTGGATATAAAAGGTACGATATGACTTAGTGTCTTTGGCTTTGTTCACAAATGTCTTGGATGTACATTGTCCTAAATCAGATTCCACTTTGTTTCCAAATATTACCTGAATATAGATTGTGAAAGAGGACTGGAAAGATGTTAACAAATAGGAGAAATTTATTAAGACAAGTTTTGTTGTTAGACAGATCAACACTCATGTCTAGTCCCAATTAGACATCTTATAGTTACATTCTACTATTGACAATATATTAGGAGATTAGAAAATAACTGTTCTGACTTGAGTTACATTGTTGTGTATTCCAGAAGTAATTCTTTATTCTTCTATTTAGACCTTCATGAAATGGTTACCAATTACAAGACTAATAAGCTATTAATCATTTATTCACTTAATCGCTCATTGCCTATAGGACCATTGACCTTCTTCCAATTATTCACCCAATAACCGTGAACAAACGACAAATATCTTAACTCTTATATGTCCTTGAATTCCTTCTTACATAGCATCCAATCGTAAAATAAAACCATTAACACGATTCTCCTCTTTTTTACTTCATTCATTACTCATGGACCCATATTGTAATATACATCGGATACCCAACGCTAACACAGTATTACACTGCGTACATGACTGAACCATAAGTGACACAATAACGAGACAATCATAGCATAGTAATTACAGAATGAGAAAATATATATGAAAGCGGTTTACTAGTTCAAGGAAAGCTTACAATTAGGGAAATATAAAACCATGATAGTCTAAGTAGTTAATGATTTCACACAAAAAATATATCAATAATAATTTTTAGTGTATAACCCATCTGAAACCCACTATCAAGAACGTAAAAGGTTAAAGGTAGTTGTCCGAATGTAGATGCATCTCTTAAGAAATACATCTTTTATGTATAAATTATTAAGAGTAAGCATGAAAAACTCGGGATTTTCAAAAGCTAGTTGTGTTACAGTAGACAAACGAGATGCCATATTGAATATTGGCGACCTATATCTGAGCGACCTGTTCCTACCATATATCTACATATTTCAACAAGTCATCTGTTTATCGGTTAACTTTAGGAAAAATTTACAACTTTTCTCTGTACAAATTACAAAAAAGAAAGCCTATAGAGACATTGTAGTTGCTGACAATATACATTGAAATGAATGTACATTATTCAAATGTCGATTCTTGAACTTACCTACTTACTTACGCCTGTTACTCCTAATGGAGCGTAGGCGGCCGACCAGCATTCACCAACCCGCTCTGTCCTGGGCCTTCTTTTCTAGTTCTATTCAATTCTTGTTCATCTTTCTCATGTCCATTTCCCTGCGTAATGTGTTCTATGGTCTTCCTCTTCACTCCCTATTGGCCTTGAGGATTCCACGTGAGGGCTTGTCTTGTGACGCACTTGGGTGCTTTCCTCAATTTGTGTCCTATCCACTTCCAGCGCTTCTTCCTGATTTCTTCCTCCGCTGGGATCTGGTTTGTTCTTTCCCATAGTAGGTTGTTGCTAACAGTGTCCAGTCAACGGATCCGGAGTATTTTGCGTAAACAACTGTTAATAAACACCTGCATCTTCTGGATGATGGCTTTCGTAGTTCTCCAGGTTTCTGCCCCATACAGTAGAACTGTCTTGACATTTATATTGAAAATTCTGACCTTGGTGTTGGTTGACAGTTGTTTTGAGTTCCAGATGTTCTTCAGTTGTAAATATGCTCCTCTTGTTTTGCCGATCCTTGCCTTCACATCTGCTTCAGATCCTCCGTGTTCATCAATGATGCTGCCCAATTCTTGAACTGCTAACATCTAATTGTCGACTACTCAATATTTATCGTCAGGATCAACCAAGAAGTAAGAAGCTTGTTGAAATACTTTGTGCTAAGAATTCTATATTGTACCAAAGAAAAATTAGAAAAAAATAAACATGAGTTTCGAGACCTACACTTTGTTCTAATCTAATTAGATGGGAATAAATGGTGTCAAATATTTTGGTGTAACGTCGAATCTAATCATAGAATGTTGATTATAGTTCAGAAAATGAATTGACCAATCATATTTTAATTTGAAACGCCCACTATTTGAACTCAATTTGACCTCGAAATGGTTATTCTTTATTATCCAATCACTAAATAGTATCTTATTTATAAATATGAATAGTTTCCATTCAATTCATTTTGTAACAATCATTTATTACTGTTTGGTATGTATATACATTTTATTATCCCTTATTTATGCCTTTTTTTGTTTTGTTTTACTATACTGTTCTATGTTCTTGTAATGAATAGCTTAGAAACGGTTAAGAATTCTATCGACTTAATTACACTAAGACTATGTATTTGGCATCATCATCATCATCATCATCAATTGGCTGAACTTACTTGTATACAAAATAAATGTTATGGAATATCTAAACATTAAAGATAAATTTTGTTAGAGTTTTGTTCTCTAATCTAGATGGTTTAGTTGTGGAGAGTTCATTGTTCTTCTGAACAATATCATTAGCACAAATTTTAGATAGAAGTGAAGTATTCGAATTTCTCTACATATGAATCACAGCTTATCTTGTACACCTCGATGTTGATTGATTCAAAATCATCCATTTGAGCTAGAAATCTTCTCCATCATATAAGATAAAACATGTTGATCATTATTAGTAATTAATATTAGAAACTACTTTGGTTTAAGCACCCAGGTATTATTATAGTTCACACACAAATTAAGTTATTTGTATGGTGCATATGTATTCAGTACCCCTTTGTACCAATATTTATTTATGTTCATCAGTCAGTTGCAGCTAGACCTCACCTCCTGCAAGATTTGGATGCGCACTGCCGAGGAGTCCCACAATAGGACGAGACGGTCGGTCAGTGCTTCCAGGTTTTCCATGGTGGTCTAGCTTCAACTGACTCACGATCATAACCATTGAAATTACTATAATATCCACAAAACCTATCTGATATTTATTTATGTGTTCAAATAAATAAATTAATAAATTAGTGGTAGAACATGAAGTCGTCGGCGGCCTATGCTCCATTGGAAGTAACAGGCGTAAGTAAAGTCAGTAAGTAAGAACATGAAGTCAGCTTAAAATTGATTACAGTGGTACTGACGTCTCTGTTCTTTGTCTAGCCTTAGGAATTTAGTATCAAAATTTTTTTGTGTTCAGTTTTCTTGTCACGAACTAAGTGATTTTATCGAATTATATCGTTTGTTTTTTCGAACATTTTTTGTTTTTAACACTACTGTTGATATGACTACCGTTCCAACTACTATTATATCTAAGCAAAGATGAATAGTGGCTAGCAGTGGAATCCAGGATGCATGTTTCGTCCTATTTGAAACTCATCAGTTCGGGATGTACCTGCAACTCAGGGTTGATGTCCACTCCGGGACTCGAACTCAGTATCATTAGCTTTGAACGTCATCGCGTTACAAGTAAACAACACCATGTGAATATACTATTGTACCTGTTTCGTTCATTTTATCTCGCTGAACTGAAGTGATATGAAAAATCGATTTAATGTATATTTGTAATAGATCCTACGTTGTATATGACTGACTAGTTGTGTATAAAATATTCCATGCGTTGTAATGAATTATACACTCTTTTACAAGATCTTGAAAATCACATCTCAAAAACTGAAAATATTATTTCTGAAGTCAATAGTTCTAGAGATACTTTCTAGACTTTCATTTTGGTGGTTGGTGACGAATCAAACCGATTCTTTGCTTATAGCTTTGACGTTTTGTCCCATTCTCCCTAATTGAAGAAACTAGGTTTTCAAATGTTTCCTGTATTTGTTCAACATAAGCTATCCTTCCAGGAAATCCTAATAAGGCTGGTTAACTTAAGAGGTGAACCTGGACTAATAAACTTGTACAGTATTTTTTTTAGTGGTTGTAAAATCAGACAGGATTATCTCATTGACATCAAATGAATTAGAATATACCACATCTTGTATTTTATTGTAGGACTCTAAAGGAACTGCTTGTTTGTTTATCAAACACATCGATAATGTTTGCTGATGTTCCTCCTCTACCTACATGTACGGAATCATATGCCTTCCAGGTGGCTGGTCATTCTCGAGAAAATGCAAGTAGTTTCGAAAGTAAGTTGTTTAGTATAAGTAATTGACTGTTACAACACTATTTATAAACTAGTAATCTCTATTGTTAGGTAATGATACCCAGTATATTTCACATAATTCCACAAGATGAATTTTGTGATTTTCGAAGTAACTAGTTGGATGTAAGGGTCGTATGATGCTAGATGTTTTGTTGGTAACTAGTTATTTCCTATTTATCCGGTCACATAATTATTTCGCTATACTTTAATTTGTGTAGGGAGGTGACAATTTTCGTTTCATTCTACATTGAGCATGCTTACGTAGTTTACAAAAATTGCAGAGTAATTGTGTGTCATAGGAATGGGAATGAAAGAATCGATTGCATGGAGTTTCTGAAACTTACTGATTGCATACAGGTTTCCTCACTGTATGAATCATACCGACAAACGTGGTGACTGCTTAGCCGTTTTAATGAAGTTGACTGTCATGTGATGGATCGCAATTTTGAGTCATACTTTATCTTGTTCGTTTAATTCGTGTGGTAGTATGACTATCGTTCACACAAAGTGTGTTAGAGCGGTGAGTATAAGTACTTGTATTCGCTAAATGATTTGCATCAAGTGAGCGCTAACTCTAATAATCGGCTTCACTGATATTGATCTAATCTCCCGTGTTCTAAGTTTCCAAACGACCTTATCGATTATTTAACTTTAAGACATCGTCTAAAACACCTAAACAAATACAAGTATGTTTGTGTTATCAACATTTATGTGACTCTAAACTTCACTTAATCAACACTATCTGTTTTCATTGATGAATTCGACAAATTTGCTGTTACTGCCTTCAACTTTTCACTTTCATTGATATTTGATGGTTTTAGCTCAAGTGACTGTAGTTTCTTTTCATCACTAGGTCACCAAACTGTAGCCACTTTTCTCACTCATTCTTATGTGTATTTAGACTTAGTTTTCATTAATCATATGTGAATATATGTGACTCGTAAATGTGCTGTAGTCTTTAGTTCTGATCATTGTATTATTCGTGTTCTACATTGAGTATATAGAGAGCTTGAGAAGCGTAAGCTCTTACATCAGACAAAGAAAGCTAAATACAGAAATTACTGAGAATATAATATACAACATCTGAAAAACATGTTTTGTATGACAAAATGGGATTTATTTACAAATGACTCATTATCTTCAGTTCTGCTAAAACTGATGTGAAAACTTTTCTTCAGTCACTTTACTCATCCCATCGTTTAGGACCTGATGAAGTCCAAAACCACCTTTTCAAGAAATGTGCTGGTGTTTTGTGTTATCCATTCACGGGCATGTTTAACAAATCCTTCTCAACCAATCTCATACATAAGATGTAGCGAAAGATAAAGCTAATCCCGATACCAAAGAAAATATCTGGAGATAAGAATGCAAAATTTAGACCCATAGCATTAAGTTAGCCTTTTCTCAAAACAATACAAAAGTTACTACTAGTCCCACTTAAACCTGCACTGAAAGAGCACGTTGATCCGTATAAGTATGCATACAAATGCAAAAGAACCATCTTAGATGCTGTCGTTGTTCTGCATCATAATATGCTGTTCAGCTTGGAAAGGGGCAAATAGTATGTCCGATGAGCGTTTCTAGACTATACTTCTGCCTTTGACTCTATTCCAAGACAACTACTACTTGAAAAGTTTATTAGCATCTACACCGACAGCTGGATAACCAAATGGACGTGATCCTACCACTATGGAAGTGAACAGCACATCGTATTTGGAAAAACGTTTTCAACGTCTCTATCGACTCATGAAGGTATGCCACAAGGAGCTGATCTTTCCTCTTTTCCTTCTCTGATTTCTTCTGCATGATCTGCCATCTTCTTCACAAAATATTTTTATTAGATATGTGGACAATCTCACAATATGTACTCAAGTTTCTGCCTCTTCAAACTCCCTTGAAATAACTTGGCCCTTTTCTGTCGTTAAACGATAGTCTATTGTTAATGGTCTCAAAGTTAATCCTTCTAAATATCAAACTGCTAATTTTAGCCGAAAACATGAATAGCACTAAAACACCCGGTTAGAATCTTGTAAAATTTGCACTATTAGAAATTCTGTAATCGAAACTGTTAAAGGTCATTTATCTTGATGTAAGTTTTTCCTTTGATCTTTCTTCATCTTCTCATGTCTTATTGATATCGAAGAAAGTTTTCCATTCAACATATTATATAAAGAGGGTACATTCTCTTAGCACTACTCAATATTTACTTTTACGATTTATAAATTTTTGCATATTACTTATTATACTTTACTATTCTTCTCTATTGTTCTTTCCCGGGCTTTTGAGGAAAGACTTTACTGTATTGCGAAGAATTCTGAAGGTAGGTGTTAGAGTGTGTGGTGAATATTTCAATGGTCATTAATAATATGGTTGTAGAGAGACATCTAAAATCTTGTAAACTCATAGCATGTGTTATCTTATTAGATACTAACCATCCACTTCATTCATATCTTTCTCCTTGTATATCTTCTGGTAGAACGAGACGTAAATATATTAAAATCCATGCGCTCGAGTAAAGATACAAAAGTTCTACAATATCTTATACTATGTGATGAACAAGTTGTTAAAGCTGCACTACTAGTCAACAACTTGTATTCTTAAACATGTTTCTAATAACAAAGTAGTTCAGACTCTAATCTTCAAAAAGAAAATAACAAAGACATTCCATTTAGTTCCAGGTAGTTTATTGACTTAATTTGGTGCAAATAGGATTTTTTTCCTTTCTTGTTTTGTAAAAGGAATTTGTTGAATTATTCTGTGCTGAGAATTCCAAATTGTGGTAACCATATAATATCGCATAAAGCCATTATTATTATTATTATTATTATTATTATTATTAGTAGTAGTAGTAGTAGTAGTAGTAGTAGTAGTAGTAGCAGTAGTAGTAGTATTAGTAGCAGTAGTAGTAGTAGTAGCAGTAGTAGTAGTAGCAGTAGTAGTAGTAGTAGTAGAAGTAGTAGTAGTGGTAATACTAGTAGTAGTATTAGTAGTTGTAATAGATGTAGTAGTAGTAGTAGTAGTAGTAGTAGTAGTAGTAGTAGTAGTATCAGTATTAATATTAGTATTAACAGGATGTAGGAAGTAACTTCCTACAGATGTAATTCTAACCTATTCCCTAGACTATCGAACATAAAGTCTTAGATTAGCCAAAGTCAGAACAAGTCAACTATTTGGCTTGACAAACTATATGTGTTTTTAAAACGTAAATTAACACTGTTTGTATACAAAACAAACAATTAATACAGTCTACTAAACAGGAAAAGAAAAGAGACATAAATAACATACCGAATAGTAACTAGAGTGTAGGAGAAATAAGTCAATTCATTTAATACCATTCATGATGAACATAAAATTATGATTGGTGAATAAATAAAGCATAATCATACAAGGTCAAAGAAAGTTAATGTAGGGATGGTGGATGTTTCCTGCCGTCATTGATGAGTTCGTTTATCGATTACACTTTACATAAGATATTTAAATGTGTTAGTAGGTAATTATGTATTAAAGGAGTTTAAGTGTGTTTATCAATACTGAATTCAGGTAATCTCATTATCCGAATGTACTTCGTACACACATATACATACACTAATCATATATATATATATAATTTAATAGTTGAGATCTTGAGTCAGTTGAAGCTAGACAACCATGGAAAACCTGGGGGCACTGGACGACCGTTTCGTTTAAGTATTGAACTCATCAGCAGTGCACACCCACGATCACGCCACGCCAGATTCGAATCCAGGCCTGTCAGTCTTGCGCACGAACACTTCACCTCTAGACCACGGATTCGGCCGGCATCCAACGGTGTTAATGTCTAACTTCAACCAATCCACGAAATAGAGCCACACACCCACCATTGTCTTCAATGAGTTACTATCTCACAATAGACCCAGTTGAACTCTACTGGTCACTGCTTCTCACTAGAATTCCAGGAAATACCTTTTGAAGCTAGTCACTGATGTGCATATGTTGAATACTATCAGAAAGGGCTCTTTGTTGATATTATAGTAATTTCAATAGTTGAGATCATATAAAAATCATATTTGTAATCATCTCAACTATTATTATTAAAAGAACACGAAAAATCCCCCCAACTCCAATAAACTAGTTCAAGCTTCTTCAAGGAAATAATCAAAGTCAACATTATCAATGAATATATGTAGTTTAATAAAAGCTTGTCCAATCTTGTTCATTACATTTATACTAAGGTCATGAGACAAGTGAATCTGAAAAACATACAGTTTTCCAAAAACAATATATACATATGTATATAAATATCTGTATTTTGAGATGGTGGAGAAGACTTGTAGCTCAAATGGATGATTTTGATAAAGTTCAGAGAATATGTTTGTATTTGAAAACAGTGAGAATAATCATATTTCTGGTTATAACCAAAGACTTTGATTTTGTTTTTAAATCATAAACATACTAGTACTTATAAATATAATCAACTAGTTGATGAAATATGTATAGAACCAGATTATTCATATAATGATTAGGATTATACCTTTCAATGTCTTTAAAAGTAACCTTGAGAAATACCAACCACTTTTTGATTTCAAAATAAGGTCATCAATTAAGATTATACCAAAATTCTATTTCATCATATAGATAATTAAATAGTCGATGAGTCGCTCGATTTCGTGGATTATTTGAAGTTAGATATTAACACCATTGGATGTCGGTTCAGTAGTCTAGTAGTTAAGCGCTCACGCGCAAGACTAATAGGTCTTGGGTTTGAATCTCGCAAAGCGGGATCGTGAATGAGCACTGCTGAGGAATCCTAAAATAGAATGAAACGGCTATCCAGTGCTTCCAGGTTTTTTCATGGTTGTCTAGCTTCAATTGACTCATGATCTCAACCATTGAAATTGCTATAATATCTACAAAAACTCTTCTAGTTGGATTTTACCCAAAATATATATATATATAAGGTGCCATTTTTAATTTGATTGGTATGTATATAAATCATAGTTTCATCTGTTAAGTATTAAGATTCAGGTAAGAGATCTTGAAGTCAATGTATTTATCTACTAATTAACACCGTTGGATACCGGCTCAGTGATCTAGTTGGTTAAGCGCCTGGCGCGAGACTGATAGATCCTGGGTTCGAGTCTCGTGGGGTGCGGGATCGTGGATGCGCACTACTGAGGAGTCCCATACTAAGAACAAACGGCCGTCCAGTGCTTCCAGGTTTTCCATGGTGGTCTAGCTTCAGTTGACTCATGGTTTCAACTAGTGAAATTTCTAGAAATCTCCACAAAACCCATTCTGATATTAATAAATAGTTACTATGATGTAGTTGAAATTGTTTTAATTCCTGAAATATTTAACCAGCTTCATCTGATATTTGTTCTTCATATATTTTGTTGATCTGTTCTCAAGTTGCTTAAGTTTATTTGAGGTGTTAGGAATATGTTTCAAAAATATTGTTTGTATTTCTTTATCATGATACTGAACTGTTTGAATGTTTCGTTCACATGTGATGAAGTGCTACTTATATCGACATACGTAGTATATAACACTAATCAGAAATGAAATGCCTTACAACAGAACATTGAGATGATCGATTAGAAGAGAATGGGGACAGAGAGTAATTGTTACGGAAATAAAGAAACAATTAACGCTGAGACAATTAATGGACATTTTGTAAATAAAGTATTAAACGCATGGTTTGTTGTTTCACATTTGATAACCTATCATCCAGTATCACTAATCCTAATCTAATGATATCACTAGATCAGTGATAGACTTTTGTCTATATGGAGTTGTGGAGATTATTAAGTTTTTGATTGAGATCATGAACCGATTGATGTTAGACAACCACTGAAAACCTGGAAGCACTAGACAGCTGTTTCGTCCTATTGTGGGACTCCTCAGCAGTGCACATCCACGGAAGATGGTCGCGGAATATCGTGGATTGGTTGATGTTAGACAATAACACCGTTGGATGCCAGCTCAGTGGTCTAGAGGTTCGGCATTCTAGTATATTTTCATTTTCAATAATTATTTACTCAGAAACTATTTAAGATGATTATTGCTTTAAGTGTAGATAAGATTTGTTGTAATACAGTCTGTTTATCTTTAACCTTTGTTATTAGTTTATTACTTCTGTTCATCAGATTTCTAGCAAGTATGATCATCGTTAGAAGAGTGCAAACTGATTTTTTATATAAGTACCTCTTAGAATCCGTTGATTTCCTGAATATACTTGTATTTACACTGGTGTTGTATCTTCTTTCAATGAACCAACAGAGGTTCTGATCCACCGATTCAATCTCTTGGCCAATTTAATGGTATCCAATATATTGTTAGACAGTTTGAATCTTTCCTATGATTACAACAAAAATCTCAATCATAAAATAGTAACAACATTTTAAGTAGAAACATACATTTCATGATTTTATTAATTTTAAAGCATGGATAAATAAACAGAGATGTATGGTGACTAGCAGTAAAATTTAGGACAAGCATTTCGTCGGGTTTAGGATTCGTTAGTTGGATGTACCTGCATCGCGAAGTTCATGTTTACTGCGGAACTCAAACCCGTTGTAGTAAAGGAGAACACAGGTGAGGACAACCGAATTATATTTAGCACAAAATTACAGAGTTACTTGGCAAAATAGAAAAACCATACTATAATACTTAATTTGCAAAATGTCCAATAATTGTCTAGAACTTCGTTGTTCTTGCATTTTCATACTAATTGCTTTCTATTCCCGCCCTTCCTTTCTTGATCTTCTCCATCTTCTGCTGCCAAACATTACATTTCTGACTCGCGTTATATACTACTTATATCAAATATAAGTAGCACGCACCACACTAGTACCATTCTTTTTAAACGTCATCGCTACTGGATCAAATCAGTTACTGCTTTGTACAATGGATTGAAGTTTAATTCATATGTGTTGACTGTTTAAATCTATTCATTGATATTTAGAACTGCAACTGATCAATCTCAATGGAAAGATTCAAACAACCAATACAAATAAATGAATAAATAAAGCTGATACAATGAGTGAAATTGATGAATCCGATATAGATCTCTTTTAAGAAACGAATAAGATGGAATGTAAACATAAATTTAAACATTAATATATGGAAGATCTAACTAGTAGCGTTAATTTAAATCTATATAGGACTCTAAAAGTTCCTTTATAATATTTAACTCTCGCTTAATGGGTATATTAGTAAATAGCCTAATGACATTTCACTGGGCCCTACGATCCTTTCAAATCCTGACGAATATTCATACAACTATACATTTTTACTCTAATCAAAGATTTTATAAGCGCTGATTTCAATACTAAATATTCTCAACCATTCATAATACAAGTGTTCTAATAATAAAACACATACCTCTTTATCACAGAAATGTGGAAATATCATCTACACTTTTATACTTCATCAGTTGAGATGACTGGGACATGTGTTACACGTATTCCCAACCACCGACTGCCCTGACGAGCGATGTTTTATGGTGTAGGATGGTGTAGGTTAGAAGAAAGCTAGGGGTGGTCAGACCAAAACATGACACGAATCCATGAAGTCACTGACAAGTGGACTAAGCCATGTTGGTAGGTGTAGACTACCTGGTTGAGATCCACGAGACAATAGCAACCGATGGTAAGAGATCTTGAATGACATGGCTCAAGATCGTTTGCAATGGAGCAGGTGAATCTACTCTTTGTGTTCTCCCAAATTCTAATCTTCTGAATTTTTCATGTCCTTTTTTTCTCTTTCCAAATTTATTTCACTGGATTATAGTCTTTGAATAACATCTTCAAGCCCTAATGTTTCTGATTACCGCTTATACTTTTCCTCCATCTACCACTATGGGATTTGAATCGACAATCGTACCTCTATGCTAATGTGGTGTGGCAACTCGAACTGATTTACGTACGTACGAATTTCTGTTGTTGTTAACCGACTGACAGACTGTTAAAATGTGTTACTATCAAATTTTAAATTAATGTATCTGATCATGATATTTCAAATGTTTTATATTTGTCTAGTACTTCGAGATAAATCTAAACCAATCATTTACAAGTCATTACAAGATCGTGAAAGAGGTATGCGTGAAGTGATGTTTTACCAAAGTGTGTTTTCTGCGGATGCTTCGGAAGCACTCAAACGTCTTCGTCAATTTATTCCAACTTATTATGGAGTTTTTCAATGCCCAGGAACTAAAGGTAATGATATATTTTTAATGATACTGTTTGTTTCATGTTCAAACTTTGATATATTTAATTCGGATAGTACATCAATACCTATATTGAGTTCTTCCACTGTCTAGTTTTCCACGACCACGATAATTCACTCGAGTAGAACAATATATGAGCAGTTAAAACAAATAATTCAGTAAATCCGGACAACAAAGATACAGTGATGGAATTTCATTCTGTGAACCGAATTGTTAGATCGTGAAACTGTCATTGTTCTTCCGAACAATACCATTGCCATAAACTTCAGGTAGAAGTGAATCATTCGAATTTCTCCATATATGACTGATAACTCATCCTGTCGACTTTAGTCATCACTGGTTATTGTTGACCTTTATTCTGTCATTGTATGAATATTTATCTTAATTACCTCTCTCTTCCCCCAGTACATGTCAGGTGTTAGATAGTTATCTACTAAGAACATTAGAAAAATGTTTCTCAGAGTAGTTAATTGTTCATAAGTATAAATTTAAATGATTGGCTCAGTGGTTGGTCTAGAGATTAAATGCATGGCAGGAAACTGAAGGTCTATTTTCAATCCCCAATATCAGAGTCTTGGATGTTCATTTCTGAGAAGCTCATTACTAGAACAAAACAGTTATCTGGTGCTTTTCTGGTTTTCCATAGTTGTCTAACTTAAATCAGTCTGTATTGTATGATTTGAAATAATTTTCTGTTTCGTTAACTTATAACTGAAGATTTGAAAAATGGTAGTTTGTTTAGTGAAAAGAAAACCAATGTCAAAGATGGATAATGGCTAGAAGTGGAATCCGGGACGCACGTTTCGTCCCACTTGGAACTCGTCAGCTGAATGTGCCTGCATCATAGAGCACCGTTCGCTCCAAACGCCAACGCGTTATTCACTTAGCTAGTGAGTCCTGATAGTCACCTACTTGTGCGATGGGGTGAAGTTCAAATTCACTTGGTGTTGTTTTACTTGTATCTTCTCATTGTTATTTAGGACCGCAATTGGTCAGTCTCATGTTGACATATGTGCATCCTGTGAGAACAGCCTCGATTAGCCTTAAATCATAAGATTTTCAAGCAAAGATGGATAGTGGTTAGCAGTGACTGTTGGAAACCCTTAAAAGTCAGGCTAATCAGTTTCACCAGTGTTTCATGTTATATTAGAAATGTTCAGATAGATGATTAGTCCCCTGCATCATTCACTTTGATCATCTGAATAGTGATTCGATCATCGGAAAGTGTAGTAAGACGTAGAATATTTTTTATATTCTCATCAACTCAAATGCTCAATATTCATCCTGTCCTTTGATCATCCTTACGGTTATCAAATTCCTCACATGAAAAGTGTCATTTTCTTCTTATTTAACTTATTTGATCTCGCTGTTCTAATGGAGTGTTGTGACTTGAAGAGATGTACATATGTGCTAGGTATTACTCTGAGTATGACTGAGTGACTAATTACAAAACATATATATATTGTAGGATAACTAATGGCACAACTTAACTGTATAAAAACTTTCAACATATCCATTTTGAAGATCGTTAAACACCGCTTAGATATCGTCTACTTAAAGCAATGAACTACGGATTGAAAACTGTTTAACATGGATGTGATTTGCATGTCGATTTAATGACGACCAAGTGACATTCGACCTCACACCTCATCATAATATTATGTACCAGATTATATAACAAATCTGATGTGCTGTCAGTGGCAACTGCATCTCTGCTCTATGTTAGGAGTACATGTCCACTCTGTGTTTGACCGTTTTTTTTCTCTGAAGGATCTGTTGTACAAAGTGCTAACATTGTGTTAGTGGTAGTGAGGTTCGACAACGCGTGTACGAGTACAGTGACGACAACTCAACTTCACTACCTTAAGACCCGAACTTTGGTGTTCTAGTCGCGTTTTGAGAGAATTATCTACATTGCACATTGTTTGCCTTTTCTAAGATTAGATGGAACAATAGGAGACTTGGTTATTTGAATGGATAAATTCATAATATGGAAGAAAGTTGTATAGGACTGAGATCTATCAATCCATCACTACCCTCCGATTGATATTCTAGAAATTGTGTAACTTGGTGTCTCGAGACATTATCAAACATTGCTCAAAACAGAACCAAGTTCTAATTTTGATTTAGTTTTTATTTACATTTATCTTAAACTTATAAGGGGAAGTCCATCAACTGGAAGAAACCCTTATTCTCTCTTACATTTAACGATGGTATGTTCTCAGTCTATCTAGTCCATCTTGTTGAATTCATTTATTCAACAACAAAAACAAGAAAAGAATTAAACCATTAAACCGTTCAACTATCACCTTCATCATCTATTATTATTGAAGATATGAAATTTCATAGATATGGCTTAGTAAGAGGGAACTAAGTGAAAAATTCTATTTTCCGATGTGGGTTTTTTTCATTGGTGTTAATTAATTCTAAATCATTTTTTTGTATCCAAGTGATAATTGTTTCATTGAATAATTAAAAATCATTAGATTTCTTCAGGGAGGTCTTTAACAAAAGAATCTTTCCTGTATGATTTATGCTTTGAAGTAGTCGAGTCTAAGCAAGAAGAAAAATATCCTATCCTGGTTCGAATTGTTGTGAAAGTGGTCGCTATTAGCAAAAATTATATTTATATTGTTAGAACTTGTAGCCTTGTGCCTTATTAATATATAACGTAATGATATTGTCAATTAGAGAACGGTGACTCATTGACCGGACCAATGACGTGTAAACCTGTACGAGCAGTCTTAAGTCCTTATTGATTCTTCTTCTTGCCTTAGCCCTACCTGTTATAGTCCAGAACACTAATCCCAATCTCTGCGATATGAAGTATGTATTTCAAACATACTGTGTTTATATACAAATCAAACAGACCACATCGTACCATAAAATAGGAAACAACACTTGTATAAGATCTAACCAAAAGTGGCTGTGGATATGGGAGACTGTAATTAATTGACTGGTCATAACTCAAGAACGGTAAATCGTATAATAATATTTCATAGCTCAAAATAAAGCTTATGATAAGAGAAACACGAATGTGAATAGTTAAATCACTTAACAATTATACAATAAAAATATATGTATTGTATTGGTTCATAAATGGATTCCAACAGTAACCATTCATAATTCTGGTCGGGATATGACAGATATGTTCTTCAACATCCGTTTAACTACTTAAACTGTAACTAACAGTTCAGTTCGTGATGTATGTTTTATCACATTTACGATTCATTAGTTGAATATGCGCATATCCTCAATTTGGCTGATTTTCCCTATGAGAAGTGAAAATGGAGTTCTGAATTTATTAATCATGAAAGATAATCAAACCTTTACAAATTATCTCGAACAGATTATTATCGACACTGATCGTAGTCAATAATCCAGGAACTAACTAAATGTTATTTTACATAGACATAAAGCTTTCGATGCTGAAATATGGAGTGCTAGAATTATCTTTAACCAGTCACCACTAAACAAACAAATGCAGATGAAGACAACTAGTGTGGCAGCAGCCTCTGCATCAGTAGGCCTCAGCGTACACAAGGGGAGACTCAAGGTCCTCAAATACAACACGGAGAACACTAACCCAATCACACTTGATGGCGAAACTCTGGGAAATATGGAATCCTTCACGTACCTGAGCAGCATCATCCATGAACAAGGAGGATCAGATTCAAGCGTAAAGGCGAGGATTGGTAAAGTAAGGGCCGTATTGAGATGGTGAAGATTCGTAGCTCAAGTGGATGATTTTGATGGAGTTTTATTCTCTGAGTTCAGCTCATAAGGGCCGTATTCCTACAATTGATGAACATATGGAACTCAACCAATATTAAAGTCAGAATCTTCAATACGAACGTCAAGGCAGTTCTACTGTACGGAGCTGAAACTTGGAGAACTACAACAACCATCATCAAGAAGGTACAACTATTTATAAATGGTTGTCTACGCAAGATACTCAACATTAATTAGTCGGATACCATCAGCAACAGCCTTCTCTGGGAGAGAACAAACCAGCTTCCAACTGAAGAAGAAATTAGGAGAAGACGATGGAAATGAATAGAACACACATTACGCAAATCATCAAGCTGCATCTCGAGGCAAGCCCTAACTTGGAAACCTGAAGGGAAGCGGAAAAGAGGAAAGCCAAAGAACACATTACATCGGGAGATAGAAGTAGATATGAAAAGGATGAATAACGACTGGAAATATAGGGTTGGATGGAGAGTGTTGGTGGGTGGCCTATGCTTTTCGACGAGGAGTAACAGACGTAAGTAAGTAATCACTATTAAGGTACTTTTCACTTTCATGAGTGATTTTTTAAACTTCATAATATCTTATAATATTCAAACCTTATAACAGCTTACTACATGGCTTTATCTGATCTGGTGGCCGATTTCAAACAACCAAATATATGCGATTTTAAAATGGGTACAGTCATTAATTATCCAGAAGACACAATCCCAGACGATCAATTTCAATATACTTGGCGTCGTGAATTAGGTATTATGTTAGCTGGTATTCAGGTAAGTGTTGTATATTATCACAGTGACTTCTTGAATGGGATTCACATTTGTGAATTTAAAAAAGTAGAGATTATTATTTTATTTATCCCATAAAGGTTGGATAAGTTGACAGATCAAAATTTCAATAATTTTTTCAACTTGATATGTTCATCATAGGGTCGATTGTTATTGTTGCTTCGTACGTAAGCTTTGCCGATGGCTTTTTACGTACGAAAATTTGATTTCTATTTAAAAGTACTCATAATGACCCACATTATTCTGTACGTTATTCGATGAAATTCTTACATAATCATTAATTGGATCAGAAGGCGTTTTGTTGGTTAAGCGCCTGGCGCGAGACTGATAGGTCCTGGGTTCGAACCTCGCGGGGAGCGGGATCGTGGGTGCGCACTGCTGAGGAGTCCCACAACAGGACGAAACGGCCGTCCAGTGCTTCCAGGTTTTCCATGGTTATCTAGCTTCAATTGACTGATGATCCCAACTGTTTAAAATCACTAATTGGATATTTTATCTTGATTTACGACTATTCAATAGTGAGTGAAATGTGATCGTCATCAAAATTTACGGTTGTTTAATTAAAATGGAAGCCTGATCAGTCAATCAAATGGAATTGATTATCAAAACAAATCCCAAAATAGTGCAATTACTAACAGTATCAGTCGGTATTAGAAACTTTAAGTATAGATAGTATAATTCAAGAAAGAATGAATTAGCTTAATTAAAGCCAAATGATCTACCATTCACATTGATTTAAGTTTTAAAGTGTGGATACTAAAAATCCTTCTTAGTTAGATAGGAGTTAAACCGGTAAGTTGTAATTTATAGGGTGGACTATACTATGAATGAATCCTTATAAAAACATTACAATCATAAAAAGAGTATACTTGCATACGGTTACTTACTGTTTCTAGATAATCGGAAATTTTACTCACATTCTGTTTAGTCTCAACAGCTTCTTAGTAATCTCCTTAACACAAAACACTATTAAACTAGGTTTATTCGTCTGTTCACTGTCCTCGGTTTTTTCGGAGAATTTCTACAACATATTAATTTCTATCAAGAAATGTCTTCAAACTCAATATGAGCCGAAACAGTAGCATCCCATCATTATGCATTATGAAGTATGGATAAATAACAAGTTCATAAACATGTACTTGGTCAATGAGTTTCGTTTGGTTATCATAATTGAAACAAGCGTAGTTAGACTCTTTGAACGTGTATTAACTTATTTATTTATTTATTTTATTTATATGAACACATAAATATTGGTACAAAAAGGCACCGAATACATATGCGCCATACATGTCACTTTATTTGTGGGTGGGCTATGATAATGCCTGGATGCCAAAACCGAAGCGAGTGGTTTTCTTAGGAAGCCACATCGGGAACCTTCGACCTGAAGGTCTGATCCACAAGTTAGTGGAAAAATGTTAGGAGATACAGTACCATGGTAGCCGGTGACTAACGATTGTTTCATACACCATTTGTTCCCTCGGGATCCTGGAGCCATGTGCACCATTGGTTTGAAATCAGGGTTTTCCAACTCTCTGTGTCCACCAACCCAGTTAAAGCGCCGAAATTCGTTTTTCTTCCTCTTAGTTTCGTAAACAACACCCGTGTTGCGAGAAGGCAATGAGTAGGACATTCCTGGGATACACTGGCCACGTGAGAGCATTTCGAGAGGGAGAGCTGACTTTCCCCAATTTCGGCCGTACCAGAGCATCTGGGGGCTTAAACATGTCGGCATCGAGACTTCAAAATACTTAGCCATGTAATTGACTTCTATGACGAAATAATAGTTTAGTAACTGATTGTCCAATTTTTATTAAATCCTAAGATGGATACATATATATAAAGAAATGAATGATGAACGATTTACTATAATTCCTTTCCGTATACAAGAGTCAGGTGGACTGTGCATGATAGTAACAACCACTGAAAAATACAGATTCAAAGTGATGTTCATTATTTGTCATATATTATAAACAGATCAATGACTTGTATTCACCACTGTTCATCGAGTGTTCAACGATCACACTCGTGAACGATTCACATCTTCTCAAATACTGTTTCAAAGAACCCATGTTGTCATCAACCCAACCATTAAACACAAAATCAAACTGTGCTAAACTTCTCATTTATCATGTGACAATATTTATAGTTCCATATAAAAATACAATAGTCGTCAGTATGAATCACTTTGTTATATTTTCCTATTCCATTATTTTACAGATTTCTGATTCAGTGAATCACTGTTTAATCAAGTTGAATAAAGCATTTGGACGCACTTTAACTCCAGAACAAGTTTATTCACTTTGTTAGTTATGATATTGTGTACTTTGTGATACTAACTTACTGTTGAACAATCTGTCCCTTCGTTCTCTTTCTATCTTTTTCAATCTCTATAATTCTATTCATTTGGAATAGTCAGTAGAAGAGAGATGTGACTGAACATTAGACAGATTTATTACACGAACAAGGAGAGTCACTTGAGACTGGACACCATCACAGTGGTTCTGATGGTTAGGTGATCGTGGTGAGACGTGGAGTCCTTGTGTCTGATCAGTAGTGAGGTTGTGTGTGCGCCTTAGTGAGGAGTATTAAACTAACATGAAACGTTCCTCCAATGCTTCATGAACATCTTAGAACTTCTTCAACTATAATATATATCACAAATACACCGTGTCATTTGAACACAGTCTCATTCATCGATCTGAACGATTAGTATGGTTATATGGCTAGTTGACTTCTCAATTTCGAGTGAATCATACTACCCACATTTCAAAATCCGATTTCATTCAGAGATTATCAATTTCGAATGGTAAGGATTATTCACTCCCTACAAACAAATCAGTGGTGATTGAGAGAATATCAACTACTAGTACAGCAGCTTGCTAAGAAAAGAATAATTTACTAAGTAGAAAATGTTTATTGAACAATTCGACCTCGGTGAAAATCTATGATAATTAGAAGTTTTGGGATGAATGTACTAACTAGGAATTTCCGAAATACCACAATTTAAGGTAAGTAGAACTGGATGAGCACAAATGAGAGTATTATATTTGGAATTCGCAATGAGTGGGAAATCAAGTACGGAGGAATTATTCGTTTGCACAAGTACCACAAAATCATGTGCACTTGTTGTGAAGGTACAAGTTGAGTTGTGAAAGGAATATTAGAATAGTGATAACAAATCTGTGTTATATGGTTTCAAAGGTGTCTTTGTTAGAGATATTAGACTTGTTCCATACAGACAATCATAAATTGTGTTAATATTTACATCTATGCTTAGCTCAATCATATTCGACTTTGTCATACATTGTGATGACTGATTTGTATCAGTTCTTGGCTTTTGATCTAGGTTATTCTGCATTGGAACTTTTAACCTGTTTGTTTGAATTTGAATCTGATTACGTATGATTTACATTTTTCATGTATCACTTCAGGTAATTATTTTTCTGCATTTCACAGGTGTAAAACCATTTCTAGGTGCAGATCCTACCTATAGTATTAAACTTGCTCAAAATTATATCATACAACTTAGTCGTATTTTAAATTGGTATGTCGAATATGGTGCGAAAGAGCTCACATTCTGTCGTTCCTCACTTTTATTGATTCATGAATCATTGGCGAATGACAACAGTAATAATGACCATTGTCTTTCTGAATCATGTTCCTCATCATCTTCTATATCACCATCCACCACAACAACAGTAGACAGTCAGTCAGTCAATAGTTCAAATGATATTATCAACTCCGATATTACTATTTCTTCGAATGGAGGCAATATTAGTAACACTAGTAGTGGCAGTAGTGGTAATAATACTGCACATACAGAGGTTTATTTAATTGATTTTGTGCGTTGGAAAGCTAAATCATCTACTGATGTCAATGATAATGGTGGTTGTAGTAAGGATTGTTGGAGTTGTGAACTAACTGACGGTTTTCGGCATGGATTGGAAACATTGATCGGGTTAATGCAACGCGTGGTTAATACAGAAAATTCAGCTGAAATATAACAGTGTTGATTAACTTTATCATCATTACTATTATATACAGATTGGTATTTTTTTAACTTTCTGAAATTGATCTACATCTACACATATATATGCACTCATCAGCGTTAAATGTACTCGCTTATGATTGGACACTGTGACTTACTCATTAACCCTCCTTCTTCTCTCTCTTTCTGTTGCTTTGAATCCCGCTTTAGTTGTGTTTGTCTCGTATGATTATTCCTATTTACTGTTTACTACGTTGGTGTGTATTTCCCGTAGAAGCAAATGATTTCTGCATTTTGAGGTTTTAGATTTATCCCTTTACTTAATGATTTTAATTTTATTTTCAATATGTATGCATACACCTATTTGATATTGTCTATTTTTTGAAGTGTTTACCAATTAATGGTTGACCAGTAAACGTTTCTTATTCAACTCCTTGTATTATTTTATTCAGAGTAAGTTTTAGTGGTCCGATATCTGAGTCTAATTAGATCGTATGTTGATCGCTACTGAAATATACATATCACCAATCCTCGTATATAATCATTGATTTAACTCGGATTAGTGTATAATGGAATTAAAAAAGTCGAATACAAGAATGGATTTCGAATACATATATTTTGTACAATCGTTGATCGGAACAAACAATCAGAGACGTAGCGAAGGAAGCGAGAAAGAGAGAGCGAAGCAAAACAAAATGGCACACAATGGAGAAGGCACGTGGACCAAATTGATTTAACCAAGCGTTAATCGATATTTATAGCCGAACGAAAACAAGTTACAGACATGTGATGAGTAAGATAGGAAATGAACACACATACGCTTACATAAAAACAGTCAAGGTAGATAAGTGAATAATTAACACGGCTTGTCCGGAAGCCAGAATAAGTTATGTGAGTTTAACATAGCAACCTCACTAAAAGGTCATTTCTTAATTGTTGTGGTATGGATCATGGTTGTAGTTGTGGGGGACTACGGATTTTATTTTAATGTGAATATGACATTTTCACTGCTTAAATCACGAAAATTGATCCTAGCTAGACCATCGTTGAAATTCTGGAAGCTCTGGACAGTTGCTTCATTCTAGTATGTGACTACTTTGTAAGGCTCACCCACGACCATGGATTTGAGTAACGTATGTGTTTGGTTGATTTGGCGGTTCGATGGTAGTAGTAGACATCGCTGTCCTAGTAGTAGTAGTAGTAGTAGTAGTAGTAGTAGTAGTAGTAGTAGTAGTAGTAGTAGTAGTAGTAGTAGTAGTAGTAGTAGTAGTAGTAGTAGTAGTAGTAGTAGTAGTAGTAGTAGTAGTAGTAGTAGTAGTAGTAGTAGTAGTAGTAGTAGTAGTAGTAGTAGTAGTAGTAGTAGTAGTAGTAGTAGTAGTAGTAGTAGTAGTAGTAGTAGTAGTAGTAGTAGTAGTAGTAGTAGTAGTAGTAGTAGTAGTAGTAGTAGTAGTAGTAGTAGTAGTAGTAGTAGTAGTAGTAGTAGTAGTAGTAGTAGTAGTAGTAGTAGTAGTAGTAGTAGTAGTAGTAGTAGTAGTAGTAGTAGTAGTAGTAGTAGTAGTAGTAGTAGTAGTAGTAGTAGTAGTAGTAGTAGTAGTAGTAGTAGTAGTAGTAGTAGTAGTAGTAGTAGTAGTAGTAGTAGTAGTAGTAGTAGTAGTAGTAGTAGTAGTAGTAGTAGTAGTAGTAGTAGTAGTAGTAGTAGTAGTAGTAGTAGTAGTAGTAGTAGTAGTAGTAGTAGTAGTAGTAGTAGTAGTAGTAGTAGTAGTAGTAGTAGTAGTAGTAGTAGTAGTAGTAGTAGTAGTAGTAGTAGTAGTAGTAGTAGTAGTAGTAGTAGTAGTAGTAGTAGTAGTAGTAGTAGTAGTAGTAGTAGTAGTAGTAGTAGTAGTAGTAGTAGTAGTAGTAGTAGTAGTAGTAGTAGTAGTAGTAGTAGTAGTAGTAGTAGTAGTAGTAGTAGTAGTAGTAGTAGTAGTAGTAGTAGTAGTAGTAGTAGTAGTAGTAGTAGTAGTAGTAGTAGTAGTAGTAGTAGTAGTAGTAGTAGTAGTAGTAGTAGTAGTAGTAGTAGTAGTAGTAGTAGTAGTAGTAGTAGTAGTAGTAGTAGTAGTAGTAGTAGTAGTAGTAGTAGTAGTAGTAGTAGTAGTAGTAGTAGTAGTAGTAGTAGTAGTAGTAGTAGTAGTAGTAGTAGTAGTAGTAGTAGTAGTAGTAGTAGTAGTAGTAGTAGTAGTAGTAGTAGTAGTAGTAGTAGTAGTAGTAGTAGTAGTAGTAGTAGTAGTAGTAGTAGTAGTAGTAGTAGTAGTAGTAGTAGTAGTAGTAGTAGTAGTAGTAGTAGTAGTAGTAGTAGTAGTAGTAGTAGTAGTAGTAGTAGTAGTAGTAGTAGTAGTAGTAGTAGTAGTAGTAGTAGTAGTAGTAGTAGTAGTAGTAGTAGTAGTAGTAGTAGTAGTAGTAGTAGTAGTAGTAGTAGTAGTAGTAGTAGTAGTAGTAGTAGTAGTAGTAGTAGTAGTAGTAGTAGTAGTAGTAGTAGTAGTAGTAGTAGTAGTAGTAGTAGTAGTAGTAGTAGTAGTAGTAGTAGTAGTAGTAGTAGTAGTAGTAGTAGTAGTAGTAGTAGTAGTAGTAGTAGTAGTAATAGTGCTGGTGCAATCGGGTCGCTGAGTGGTGTGATGGCTAAGATGCGTGTCTTTTTTCAATGCCGACTAGCATTTAGCTGAATCGCACTGACCTGCACCTATGAACAACTGATCGGTAAGTGAGTGGAGTGTGTTGACTGATGTTGTCTGTTTTGTGTTGATGGAGGTTGACTTATTGGTTGATGCCTGTATTCTGAGATGGTTGTGTGTGTGGATTGTTAGTTCTTGGTGTTAATTTGTTCGAATTAGAGTTTGAAAATGTTATGACATATGCCTCCGTCAGTTATCATGTGACAAGATCGCCAATTAAAACACCTACTGATACGACCTTGGCGATGTGCCAATCCAGTGACTCATTAACCAACACTAGCAGCCTTGAGTTAACTATGAATCATTATTCGTTCTTCCCGCCTAACATTATCAGTTTGAGTCTAGAACACAATCTCAGCTTCCACTGTATAAATCATGTTTTTCGAACACATGTAGTTTATACACATGCAAACTAGACCACAACAACACAAAAAAATAAAAAATAACAATTATACAAGGTCAAGTCAAAATGTGGCTGTGAGTATGAGAGATTGTAACTAATAAATTGGGGCTAACTTAAGAATAGTAAATTGTATGACAATAGCCAACATGTCGATTGAAAGCTTTTGATATAATACATATAATAGCAGTTTATAACTACTTCCAGAAATTTACCCATAATTTAATCTTCTTCGGACATAATAGAGAATTTTCATACACATAGTTCCCTTTATTATCTTAAAGAGAGCAAGAACAAAGATTGGTGCAGAATAATACATGAATTCATTTGATTTCGTCATGTTCTCATCAGCTGCTTACAACCTAAATTATTTGAAATTCAACATTATTACAGATATTGACATATTAACATACATAAGTGGGTGATGAAGGATCACCACATGTGTATGATAATGTAGCGAAGATTCAGATAGAGTTAATGAGCTCATAAAATGTAAATTTGTATACACAGTTGGTGGTAACATGAAAGGGATACCTATCGACCCTTGATTGTGTCAAAGAACATGTTGTTTTGGACAGGACAATCAATTTAGCTGCAGAATATGTTTTTGTCAGTGCAGTTTTTAGTCTCATATTGATTGACCCTGTGACATCGTCACCTTTGAATTGAAGTTTAATAAAAATAGGCTTTTTTTGCTGTAATTTCTTTCGGCTTTTTAACTTCACATTTGCCGTATTTCTCAATAAATTTCAGTGGGTATCCGTTATTCTTTAAACATTTTTTAACATTTATAACTTTCTCTTCTAGTGTATCGGAAGTACATGTTCTTTCTGTTCTGTGAAACAGTGTTTTGACCAGTGCCTTTTTGTAACCGATTGGACAAAAGCTATTGAAATTGAGATAACTACCATTCCATGTGTCTTTCTTATACACTGAACGTTGAACTGTACCATCTTTTCTTCTTTTCATCGCGATATCGAGAAAATGGAACTTGTTTTCTTTTTCATGTTCCATAGTGAAATGGATATTCGGATGTGCTTCGTTGAAAAACTCTAGCAGATTTATTGCATGTTGTTTATTATTACATACGATGAAGGTATCATCAACATATCTTGAATAATACGTCATTTCATCAATCGCTCGTTTGAGTTTGGTTCTTTCGAGGTTAGCCATGAAAATATCTGCTAGGACAGGACCTAACGGACTTCCCATCGCTACACCATCGATTTGTTTGTATATGATATCGTTGAACTGGAACTGAACATCTTTTGTACAAATGAGTAATAGTCGTTTGAATTCTGGTACTGGTAGAGGTAGGATGTCAGAATGTTGACAAATTATGTCTATGGTCTCAAGAAGTGGTATTTTTGTAAACAAAGATGTTACATCAAAAGAAACCATAAACTTACCGGCAATATTTATGTGATTCATGCTCTCTTTAAGATAACAGAGAATGTATGTGTGTGTAGGTTGATTGATTGAGAATGTATTAGAATGATTTGAGTTATTTGTAGTATTTGGTGAGTTGTGTTTGAATAATTTAGGCAGTCGTAGCTGTATGGAACAGAAGACGATTATCTCGCAGGTGGGTCTTCTCCGATGTTCTCATTCAATCCCCAATAGTGTAGACTGTTTCATTCATTACTTGTATGCTCAATACAAGCTATCATCAGAGCCAAGTTAATATTTTTCAAAATGAAGTTATTCCTCATTATTCGTTGAAGATGCATATGAAGGAGAATAATTTGTGGATTATTTAAGTGTTTTCTTAATTATGACCAACAACAATCTGACAATCACAATTAAAATTATTTTTTAAAAAATCATTTAAGCCAAAAATATATTGCTGACTACTTCATAAACAGTATATGAAAAAATGGGTAGTGAAGAGCAGTGGAATCCAGGACGTGCGTTTCGTCCTATTTAGGACTCGTCAGCTGGATGTACCTGCATTTCAGAGTTGATGTTCACTCTGGGATTCGAACTTAGTACCGTTCACTTCAAACACCATCACATTATCCACCTGGCTACTGAGTCCAATAAGAGACTAATCAATTGCAGTCCTAAACATCAGTGGGAAGATTCAAACAAATTTATGTTGCTGACTGTTTAGTACCTGACAACAACTTTATCAGCCGTTACTCTAATACTCAGTAATATTTATATAGAAATATGAAAAACAATAAACCAATCAAAACAGTTTATTACTCACCACAAACAACGAGGGAAATTACATAATTAAATAATAGTGAATACAAAGTATAAATTGATGGTAGGATGGCAGATGTACTAGTAATGATAAGAATGATAAAACCTCATGTTACATAAGAAGTAGTCCTTATTGGCTAAAGATTTTATTGTTGTTAACACCAATAGTACACCTGTTATCCTACCATCGATGTGCACTTTTGACTTATTGTATTTGGTAATGTACTTTAAATTATTGTTGGCATTAATTCATAAAATGCCATGATTGGTCTATTGTTTCTTATATATGCATAGATATATAGTACCATATATTAAAGTTTTGTTGTATTCCTATATATAAACTATACTGAACACTCTAATCCGGTAAGTATTTATTTGTATCCAGATCACCCCAATTGCACTTAAAGTATGATAAGAATTACACTTATTGTCTTTAACATATCTCAATGAACTTTGATATCTTATTTTTCATAATTCAAGTCCCATATGTGCTCCTTATTTACCTATAACTCCTACCAAAGCTTGTGATTTCAGGTCATAGTTCTAACTCTTAGAGAGATTTTTCGTTATGTAAAACCGCAAACCAGATGGTCGAATCCATCTATGAGAACTCAGTGTTATCGGATGGAAAAGCGGTAAAGACGGTGAGACTATAATTTATGGACGACCTTAGAGCGACGCTGAAGTGGCCTTGAGAGCGGACACCTACTGATAAGGACTAAATGAAGGTTATGAAGCAGTTGAAATCCTCATTTACAGTTGATGGTTAGGGTTAAAAACTAGATTTAGGGTTTTCATCACGAACTGACATCAGCTACAATGCCAAAACACTATTTAGCCAAATGTATGGATGAATTTCGCACCAAAATTTGTGACTCATTACCTTATATCTGATTGGTTCGTCCATAAATTATGGTCTCGCCGCAAAGACTACTGAAATAATATTTAGGCCTGACGCTGATTCATAATTTGAACTCTTGCAACAATAAGTCATCCAAATAATCTTTTATGGGATCAATGGTGAACGGAATGACCATTAGCCAACGTGCAATTAAGTAGCAACAAGCTATATCAGCTTAAGTGAAACGCGACTTGTATATTAGTAATCACTAAGCTAATAGATGTTGAATTTATCAGTTATAACTTAGAAGTCTGCCACAAAATAATAGGCTGCAGTGATGAAGATGTCGAGATAGATGAGCTTGTGGATATCGCTAACCAAATACCAATGTGTATTCAGTACCTCAATTCTAGATAACTTCAGCAGGGTAGCTTCATGACCTTTAATAAACTTTAAATATGCTTGTCAGTCAACTTAATCGTCTGTGTACGAAATATTCGCTCATCGAGTGTCTAGAAGTAGGTCCGGAAGCGAATCCTGATGTCCCTCTGATACCAGTCATTCAAACATTTCTCGAAATCATAGAAAATTTGACAAACCAACTAAATGCTATTTTCACTGTGTAGATTCGGGAATCTACAACAGAGAAACGAAACGGCCGACGATCACTGGCGGATGGTATCGTCTATATAAACAATCAAGGAAGTCGTTATTTTACTCTACAGAAAAGAAAACTGAAATATGGTTCTTAGTTGTTACTGGGGAAATGGTGATATAAAAGAACCTGGACTCGTAAATAACGACATTAGCTACCAATTAGTCACATATAACCACCTATTTCAAGGGACAACAAACTCTAAACCTGGGACACAATGGTATATTTTTCTAGAGCTTTATCGTGACCGACGTCTTGGTAATAACAATTTCTTACGATTTCACAAATAACTGTCTGATATGTAGAACCACATACTGATATACATTTGCCATAATGTGACTATCAGTGGAACAATATCCGATGTACCACTTATGAATTTATGACCTACACAGCAGATTGGTACAGAAACGAACATTGACTTGGTAAACTTGTTTTCTAGTCCTTTACAGTCGATGTATGGGCAAGAATAATCTACACAAAATGTTACGCGCCACGTTGAAACTAAAAGGGCAAAAAAATATCTGAACTTTTCACACGCCTACATATTATAAGTCTCACCTAGGCAATTCCAGAAGTTGTTGAATAAGACATTATAACATTTCGCCATCCTCTAGACCTTACCACTTCAGGTGGTCTCAATTGTTGTTTAAATTAAACTTTGACTTTTCCGTTATCCTTCCAGTTCCGCTTGCAAGACACAATGATTGTTATTCACAAATAAGATGCTGCTTATGCACACCTTGTTCTCATGGAATCAGCTGTCACATTGACAGACTATCAACATAACTACTATATACATTTACAGATCACTTGATTCCTAATTGCTAGATTTTATCTGATATATTCGTTAGGATTATATGTCAAATGTGGGGTTATTTG